CAATGTGTTTTTCACCCGTTCCAATGCGATTTACACAGTTAATGAAAAGACCCGTTGCAGAGTGCCGGTTGAGCGATTTCTATAGTGCAATGTGTAATTCCCATTGGAATTGTTGAAAACATATCTTTTTTATTCTGTTACACCTCTGGTTGCATGAATGGGTTTCCATGACATTTTCACTGATTGTACACGAGTGTAATTAATATGCTCCATCAAAATGAAATACTCATGTTAGATTCTTTTTTTAGAAATTTAACGATATATCTGCTTGCACAACTTTTGGGGGTCACCCTGTATAGGGATAAACTTAACGCTTTTGCTTCACTATTATCCCTACATGTTGGTCATTAGGCAATTAATTAATTACTTATGTAAATAATTATAATAATAATAATACATACTATCAGTATTAATATTATTATTTATTGTTGTAAATGTACCTTATACCAACATGCATTAAATGTTCAAAAATAAGTCACTCTTAACCCTAATCAGGCTGGGTTATTTTGACCAGATCTCGGCCATCGAGTGACGAAAAATTGTGAAACTTTTTTTAAGGCTATCGCGGAAAAAGTTGAGGGGGGGGGGGGCAGATTCCCCCCCCCCCCCCGGCTCTTTTTTTAGGTTAATGATGCTGGAATGGCAAATTACAGAGCTCAGAGTAACAAGGACAGGAAATTGGACTCTAAATTTGTGATACAAATGACCCGAATCTAAAAGTCAGCTGTGTGTCCAAAGACTAGAATTCCTCAACATTACAAGTACTCAGTCAGCACAGCATGGGTGCTTGGTCTCGATTCCTGCCATACCAACCTCGTCCCCAGTGCTTACTTTATTTCGAACCTCGTTTCCAATAGTAAGCCTAATGGATAGGAAACGTTCTTCTGTGCCCTAGATGATTCGCTACCGTTATTTGCTAGTAATGGATTTATATCATGTAGTTGGTGTTGTTATTTCCAACGTGCATTACGTGTTTTCATGATCATTGTAATTATAATGTCCACGCCTTCTCAGAATACTCCTTTTCATTTCCAATTTGCTCATATTAATATGAAATGTGATACTGCATATTGGCGGGATAAGACTGTAACACATTTTAACTTTGAAAACAATCGTGTTTTCGTAACTCACGGAGCGACGAATTGATTGTGCTTTTACCCCAGACACCGCATACAAAAACAAACGCTTAATGTAACGCACATGGGCAGGCACTAGACTATTCCTCATTTGCATACGTGTTCAAAAATTTTGCACATATGCAAATGATCCAATACTAGGGTGAGAGAGCAGGTAGTGGTCGGCGCGTACTGCTTAACACCCTGGGGCAAGGTTGCCGCCAAACTGCCTTATACATGTATTTCATGTTTCATTTTGGGGACTGGAAAAAAGTACTGAGCTGCAACATGGCTTCATGGCTGTCCATGTCAATCCAGTCAACTTTCAACAATTTGTGATAACAGTCGAACCTCATTAATAACAGCACTGTTAATACAAGGTTTCTGTTATAACAAGGAAAAATTGTTGGTCCCAACTCTATGTTTTCTTTGTTTTCGACTCTCGCTGATAATACAAGGTTCCCGTTATAACGAGGGAATTTGTAAAGTCCCAAGGACCTCTTATTAAAGAGAGTCGACTGTAGTACAGTGGCACTGCACTGCTTAACTGGCACCGGCTGTTTGTAACAAGTCGGGGGAAGCACTTGCAAGCAAGCATTGTAGGCAGGTCGCAGGGATTGGGGGCGTTATGTGGAAGTTTGTTGATTAGATAACGGGGGTAGGGTGACTTGATGGTGATTAATATTATTGTTTTGTGTGTGAAACGTGGTTGTACAGTGAGTAGAGTCCCAAGTACTTTTGGGGAAGGTCATTTGGGGAGGATAAAATGGTGATATTTAGTGGGGATGGAAGGGCGTTGTGTGTAGTCTATGAATAGACCACAGCAAATGCCGTGGTCTATTATGCACGAACAGATTTGTTGATTAGTTAGGCAAGACCCCGCCTCTTGACTTCCTAGATTTTGACCAATCAGCAGGCGCTTTCTATAGGTCTATCAGGTCTTCGGTCATTCACCCGTTGCGCGTCATAGACATGGATG